TGGTGGGAGGTGGCCCTGCCCAGGGCAGGGGGGTGGAATGAGATGGTCTTTAAGGTCCCTTCCAACCCAAACCATTCCATGATTGTATGATTGGTGGTTGAGCTCCTCCCAGCCACCCATGGCTCCCAGCAATTCGAGGGTTTCCTTCAGCACTGGCGTCACATGAGAGTCAGCAGAGCTGAGGGATCGCCAGCGTGGTGGGAAGTGAGCTGGAAAACACTACTGAGGCCACTGTTCCACTTACCAGGGAACTTACCACTTACCCCAGAAGAAGCCAGGCAGGTACCCGCCGTCGTGGGCTTCATCCACATGTAAAACATCTCATTACCCCCATCTGCTTTCCTGCCCTCTGCCGCACACCATCAGCGCGCCTGATTTCCCTTCCCCACCTCACTCGCCTGCTGCCAGTCCCGTGCCAAGAAATTCCCACCTGCCTCCGAGACTCGTTTCTCCCTGAAGGTTTCCCACCACCTAACCTTACAGGGGCCACTTGCTCTGCAATCCAGCATCAGCCACATTCAGAACTGAATTCAAGATTTTAACAACATATATATGGTCTGTAATGTTTGTATTCTGAGAGCTGCTTGATTTTTTTCTTGCTTTTTTTACCCAGTTGCGGAGCCAGCTTGAAATTTATCCTACAAAGCTGCTGCGAAACACGAGTTGTTCTGTAAGGAGTATGCTATGTCCGAACCTGTTAAGAGCATTACCAAAAGTTCTGATACTATTTGTATCTTGGAAGAATTTTAAACTGTTCTGCCCCTTCCCTTGAGGAAAGATCTCATAACAATTTCCTCCTGAAATTTCACATTTTATAACTTGATATTTGAAACCTCCCTTTACTCGGTCAGGATGCAATTTTGACTACATTATCTGAAAGTTATTTCATAATGAATAGGACACTGCTGCCCAGTTACCAGAACGTACTGTCTGAACACCAAAAAGTTGTTCCTGTTATTATCGTGCTGCTTCCTGTAAAAAAAGTAATCCATCATGGTCGGAAGGAAAAAATGAACCAAAAATTCTGCCCTGTGGTGCACCAGCCCCAGGAAAGTGCTCGGTAAGACAGACAGCAGACGTTTCTTTCCTCTTTTACAACTGGATTTTTTTTCCATGCGCTCTCACGTGTATGGGCCAAACACAGTCCTGGAATTTGGCATTTCCTTTTTATCTAAAAAACAGTTCAGGAAATACGAAGTTCTTCACTGCCAGCTCCTCTCTGGCCAATGTGACACCAAGAGTGTCTGTCCTGCTCCATCCCAGCCAGCACATTGCCCACCACCACGGCTCCTTCTCGGCTCTACAGGCACGGGTGTTGGAGCCAGCCTCACCTCAGCATCGCGGGCAGACAGTCCCTTTCGCAACCTGGTAGTTAAATTTGCTGCTAGCGGTGCGTTGGGAAGGACAGACGCGCGGGACGGACGCAGGGAGTTACAGGCAGGTTTGGAAACGGTGTGCCAATGCTCCATCACTCAGCTCCACCGGCACAAGCAGAAATCATCTGCCACATGCCGAGAGGTGCGCAATGGTCAATTCTAGCACGCAACTCTCCGGAAAATGGGAGCAGGAACACCCAGGGATGTTGACAGGGACTTTAAAGGAAATAAAAATAAAAATTAAAAAAAAATAAATAAAAAACCCAAATAAAAGCAGATGAAATAAATCAGTTAAAAGAGTAAGATGTCGATATTCAAAGTATCAAGGAAATAAAAATAAAAATTAAAAAAAATAAATAAAAAAACAAATAAAAGCAGATAAAATAAATCAGTTAAAAGAATAAGATGTCGATATTCAAAGTATCGTAGCTGCTAGCTTCATCTCCGCACTCCACAGTCCACTGTTGGGCCAGTTTCTCAGTCAGCCTTCCAGCCCCCTCAGCACACTGTGGGCCGTGGCTTTACGCTGGGTGTAACTACAAGTTATTTAGAAGCAAGCTCCATCCATTAGCCCGCTTTAGAACTTCTTCACGCTGGCAGACAGACAAAAAAAGCACTTTGCTGTAAATGAGAACCTGGCCCATGTAGACTAGTAAAGAGGTATAGAGGTATGTGGACCTCAGAGACCACCACCGCTTCCCATCTTCCCCCTCAACACTTTTATATCAGCTCCGGAGACATTACAGCCTTGGAATACCCATGTCCTCTACCAAAAGCCACAATGGTAGAAGTGTTTTCATCGTGCCACTTGATAACTGTGTCCAAGTACTACTCTTTGCATCTGCAAATGACGGAGAGAAGTGGTGGAGCACCAAGTCGAAGGTCCATTCTCCCCAAGGTGGACAAGGAGGGAGCACCCGCGAGCAGCAGGCACGGCAGAGTCCCAACAAGGCTCCCCGTTAGCTCTCCTATTTATGCCTCCCCCTTTTGGGGATTCTCTCATGCTGATGTAGCTCTGCTGTGTTTAGTCTAATCCTCCAGAGAAGCTATTTCACTCTTATGGATTTATTTCTCTTACTAACTAATCAGCCATCATCTGCTAAAGTGACAGGAGCTTTTCCTAACTGCCAGTTTTAATATCTGGAGTCTTCAAAATGAAACGCTTAATGAGACTCAATGAGCACATTTAGTAGTCTGTGATGCAGATACTATATGGTTTTGTTTGTTTTCTTAAAACCTGGCTGTAATTATGTATTTACGTAATAATCTCTACAGCTACTTCATTAAAAAGAGGCTGCTCATTACTGTACAGTGCAATTATTTGGGTTGAAGGATTTTAAAGATGTTATCCATGAACAGCAGACACCAGCGATGCTCTTCTGTAACCAGTGACCAAGAACCACTTGAGGTAAACATCTCCTAGTCCTGGAAACATTTTTATAGCCCCTTAAAGTGTTTTTTCTGCTTTGGAAAGCCATGAGGGATTAGCCTTTAAAATTGCCCTTTCCTGGCTATGATTACCGTCTCGGTTTATCCAGCTTTGAGTGTTTTCTATTAGAGGCTGCTACGTCGCAAGCTGCGAGAACCGCAGTTCGGTGCTGCGCGGCGATGGCAGCCCGAGGCTCCCCGATGCCTCCGGGACACCCCGAACGTCTGCTCGCAGCCACCATCCTCCCAAAAAATTGATGCTCTGCCAGAGCTCACACCGGGTGGAAAGGCACAGGGCTCGTCGGACCAGCGTGACTGCAGTCTGGTGCTTCGCTTGCCACCAACGCTGGAAGTGACCATGCAGGTTGGCCAGCCCAGGGTCCTCCCAAGGTCCTCTGGTCCTTCTCGAGAGCATTCACTACCCCGGAGAGACAAACACGCTTCCCGGCTAACATCGAGGCACTGCAGTTCACGCGTAACCCGCTTGCCCTGGGTACCAAACACAATGAGTTAAAAATCGTTGCTTTTTCCCGTCTGCTCCTCCTCTCCGCTTCTGGCAATTCGCAATCGCTCGCTGGCCAAATCTGCTTTCAAAATTAGAATTTATACGGCAAAGGGTTTAACGCTATTTGAACGAGGAGGTCGGGAATTTTTACCACACGCATATAAAGTTTAAAATCTGTATTTGAATCTCCGAACTTTGCTGAGCAAAAAGCATAAGCCAGGGGGTGACATCACGACTGGGAGAGGGTGGCTTCCCCTCC